TCAACAATTACTTTACCGTTGCACTTGATTCCATGTGTTGTTGGAAGAAGTGGAAGGGCATTGAAGAGTGCTCTCCCAAGTGTGACAGGTACAACTATCAACAGAGAGTTGAAGATGAGCAGAGTCATCCAAGCAACCAACAACAACATCACTATGCGAAGCACAAAGCCCCACCTGCTAAAAAAAATTGAACCAGAGAACATCAAATACTTGTAGAAAAGAAGAGGATAACAAAAAGTCATTGGAAAAAGAAATCTCAGACTGCCATAATTTGCAAGACATATGGTTCCCAGAGAGTCGATTACAAAAAAGATACAATCAGAGATACAACTGTAGATAACATGGAGAAGTACATGATCTACCAATTGACTTGAGAACAATAAAATCACACCAAAAATTGAATCGTTAACAGGTATTACAACACTTGCACAGGCACACGGCTGGAAGGAGAAAGGGAAGAATTGGGTTAAATGCTTCATTATACATGACACTATCCAATTACACGGTTACAAACAAATCAGTAATATTCCTGAGACTTAAAGCATTAGTATTCACATTCCTGGAGAGTAAAAGTTTAGGAAGCAAATCTTGTCAAGGAAGCAGATAAAAATTTATATAACCAGGCATTCAGATCATAGGAAAAACAGACAGGTCTGTGCTTAGCATACTAACAGAGCTAAGTTTTCTTTATCGGATGAAATGAAAAGAAACGATAAATGAAAGCAGGCAAAAGTGTAAATTAAATGCATTTTCAACCCAAAAAGTATAACAAATATTGTTTTAAAGAAAGAACAGCAGCTCAAAGACAAGAGAGGTTGAGGAAGTGGAAATTATGCCAACTCCATGCTCCAGCTTTCTATCAGAAAAGCATGAAGTAGATTATTGCACCAATGGGGCTAAAACAGAATAAAGAAATGAATTAAACAGGCAAAAAATCAAGGCCAAGGGAAATCTTGGGCAAAATTACAGTTAAAAGTTTATAGTTCATCATCTTCGTTGCAACTTACTCTAGATCAGTTGGTTCCTCATCATCGTACTCCTGAGCAAAGCTGGAATTTGCTCTGGCATTTCTGTCTCTGTTTACAGCATCTGCAGCAACTCCAAGAGGGGCTTGTTCAGGTCCACCCAACCACGCATGTCCCCTATCCCGTCTCCCAGGAACGCCGTTTCCATCTCCATGGCCATGATTATCTTCTGGCTTTGGAAGTAAAAAATTTGTTAAACCGAGTGCCCAGCCAACGGCAATAAACCAATATCGTAGGATGAGTTTGAATGTACTCCGCAGCTTAAAATGTTCGATAGCAAATGGAATGCATATTTGAAATTAGAGGGGCTTGTTCAGGTCCACCCAACCACGCATGTCCCCTATCCCGTCTCCCAGGAACGCCGTTTCCATCTCCATGGCCATGATTATCTTCTGGCTTTGGAAGTAAAAAATTTGTTAAACCGAGTGCCCAGCCAACAGCAATAAACCAATATCGTAGGATGAGTTTGAATGTACTCCGCAGCTTAAAATGTTCGATAGCAAATGGAATGCATATTTGAAATAGAAGCATGTCAGCAGGAATTTCAGTGAATGGATCAGAAAGACTGCAACATATCAAGTGCTCATTGGTAAGTTAGGGAAGAAATGGTGTATTAAAGTGACAACACTATTTTGATATTAAAATTTGAAACACAATCTTACGATATATCTAGAGGAAAAATGGAAGGAGCCATTTGCACGGCAAGTTTAACGGGAAAAAATACTAGCATCACTATCAAACTCCCATAAACAGCAACAGACAACAAAACTCTACGGGCATGTTTGTGCAGTGGATCATCGATCAAATCACGGAATGGATTGTAATTAGGATCAGCTGGATCTCGAAGAAAGTATAGAACTCCACTACGCAAAACCTGGAGAAATACATATGAATGTATCGGTAGATAACATAAGATTTATAAATAATTCAATAACTTGTTCGGCAGAATGAATACCCCTCGAAGAAGGCTGACAAAGACACTTATTTGCAGCATGTAAACAATTCCCACAATCCAGTGAACCAATGAGCTTGCCAGCGGGAACAGCGAAAAGAACTCAACTCTGTGTGACATTGACTTTCCAAACATCCTTACGGTACAAACATCCAGCCACCAACCACACATCAAGGGGAAAACCCCAAGCTCAATAACCAGAAGGAAAGCAACCTTAATCATAGTCATCAAATGTCTCATGGCTGTGACAAACTGCCTGAAAAGGGACGGAATAGTTTCTGCAATGGAAGCAATACCATAGAACCTTCCCATGGTCAAAGGATCTCCTCTAGCATAGCGAATTAAGACAACAATTCCAAGGTAAAAAATAACTAGTGAAAATATGAACATATAGCCAACAGCAAGTGTGGTAACATCAGATAGCCGTGATGCCAGAGCAGATTGTCCTTTCAGGAGGGCATTTGAATCTGTCGAAGTTAGGTTGCTTGATACTACTGCATTCAGTCCTTTAGCATTTACTTTCAGCATCTCAGCAACCTGGCCAAGCAAACTATCTTCTTGATTGTCAGATGTCATATTCATAACTGCAGTTAATGCATTCTTCAGTGTTATGTTGGCTAAAGAAAGGGCCGATTCTGTAAGCGGCATGACAGTTGATAACACTGGACTTTTCGCAGAGGACAAAAGCCATGATAAGTAGTAAAGTATTATACGCCCAAATGAGAAAGGAACAAAGATCACAACTCCAAGGAATATCATATTACTTGCAAGAACCTGCAGGAAAGAATGGGAGTAGTTAGCATTGAACGGTACAAAAAACAAAAGAAGAGGAGCTTTGAAAAACTTCCATTTATTACATATATAACACATGGTAGACAACTATTGACCCATTAAGATCATGTTGAAAATTTGGCAACTATTGACACATTAAGATCACGCTGAACATTTGGCAATACTGTGATAAATCTGAAATGAAATGCACAAGATAAACGACAACTCAATGCATCATCTTGTACACCATAAAAAGCATTCCATGTAATTGAGGAAAGTGAAGGAGAAACTACTTCCTAATTTTCATTTTATTTAAAAGAGTAGAAGGAAAGATGTAACAGTAAAACTCACAGTAAATGCATTCTCGACCAAATGAAATACAGGTCCTTGCATACCAACCAGTTCATCGAAAGGTACATCCTCTGCACCATCAGCATCATCCAAACCGTCAAATACCTGTTCAACATGAGCCTCAAGACGAGCTGCTTGTATCTCCCATCGTGCTGCCACATTCTCAGCATTCCTTGGGATTATCTGACCAGCACCAGCAACTCCTTGGGCTCCACCAGCATCTTCACCATTCACATCACCAACAAGATTTCTATTGGCCTGAGCAGCATGCCTTCTTGCAGCACGAGCCCCATTTCTATCTCCGTCATTTTCTCTGTCAACATCTTGTCCTCCAATCTCTCGTAAATGTCTAAAATAATCTCTAAGAGAAGTTGCTCCAAGAAAAATGAACACAATGCTTGCAGAGAGCAGAAATCCATGCAGACAATCAGTTAGAATGACTGTTGTAGATAAGTGACTCAAAAATAGTATTTGCGCTTCACCGAAGCTTCTAACAAATGCTAATCGCCATATCCAAAATGTAATGAAAGGAATGACGAGAAGCCAAACTGAAAGTACAAAACTGAGGCGCAAAAAGAATTGCAGAACATGACAGGCTTTCATAGATATTCCAACAATAAATTCCTGAAAAGTAAGCCTCGTGGGAGCATTTTCAGCATAGACTGGAGAGAATGAAAATGGATGTTTGCAGACCTGCATTTCACATTAATGGGAATAAGAGAGACTGGGAGAGAGAGAAAAGGAATAGCAGTAAGTCTCTTTAAGTCTTAAAACACAGAATTTGTGAGCACAGAAGGATTCGTGATAGTAACATGTAAAAGAACCTGCTAAAACGACAGAATATAAATTGGCATATAAAAGGACTGAGATGAGAGAAACAGCAGTTACCACTGTAACTTGCATTCACCAAATTCAAATGCTACATTATGTCCTACGTGACACTACTATTAAATATATATAAGTTCTTGGGTGAATATGTATATTGCTTAAAAAATGTCTGCCTAAGCATTAATTGACATCCAATGCTGCACAAGCCGTCAGTTACAAAAGTGTCACTGTCATAATAAGACCAGCTCGGCTATTTAAGGAATTCATGGGAAAATTAAATATCTGAGTTTTTGTTTGTCAAAAGTTGGCTGGTATCATTTGAATTATATGTCGATATCAGTAATTTGACGCCAAAAATTAACTAATCAAAGAGGCGAAAAAAGGAAGTCACCGATACAAGAAAGTAAAATCCTCCAATTTCAATTGATATTTCTTAATTTGCCCCCATTTCTATTCTTACATACTTAATTTGCCAAGCAGTCAACTAAACTACTAGATAATCAACATACACTGAGACCTCCAAACCTATTCTACGGAATTTTTAACTCACTCAAAAATCTCATCAATCGACAGCACCAACCACGAAATGCAAACAAATGATCAGAAATGTAACAGTAGCAGCTGCCTTAAAAATTAAAAACCAAACAGATAATAAATAACCAAAGCAATAAAATCTGAAGACAAGGGATAAGGAGAAACCTCGCATTGACGAGCATTGCTGTGATTAAGCCATTGAAGAAGGCAATCTTGGTGAACGAACTTAATGCTGCCACTGCAAGCGCAGGGGTATCGCAGGGGATTATCCGCGTCCCCAGGGTTCCGACAAATCCGGCAAACGTCCCCCTCCTCGTCATCATCCAATAAATCGTGGTTATTGACACCATTAATCTTATTAACATCATTAGTATAACTACTTCCGGCGTCCCTCGAACCCGGCGAAGAACCACCCGAAGATGACGCGGAGTTTGGCGGAGCCGATGAAGAGGAGGAAGACGGCTCCATCGACGCCAACGCTGCCGGTCCGATATCCATCCTGGCGTTGGAAAAACTTGTAGATTTTCGTCTCCTCTGTCTTAGGTTTTGGCTCAATTTGGGAAGTAACGTTTCGGGGGTGGGAAATGGAAAATGTATGCGTATTATATTTCCTCTCTGGTTGGCTACCTCTCTTCGGAGTTTGGACCATGACCTGCGAACTGTGCCCGACTGTTGAGTGACCCAGCAGTTGATTTTCATGGGCCTTTACAATGGCAAAATCGGCCCACTTTCATAACCTGTTATTGTCGAAGCTAAAAAGTGTAATTGGGCCTTTTTTTTTCTTGTTTGGATCCTCCTCCTGTTTGGGTCCAATTTTTAGATTAACTTTGGTTTGATTTATGCAAAATTTGGTTCTCAGCCCTTGTTTGAGTCCCAATCTAGTCAAAAAATATATTTTTAAATAGCGTATTGAT